ACATATGGAATATTTGCATTTAGCATGTATACAATTTGTTCACTTGAGACTGAAGTTAAGACCACGAATAAACAACCATATGCAAGCGATACACATAGTCTGGCCTAAAGTATACCGTCCCGAGACTTCCCATAGGGTGGAAGAAGGCATAAGTGGGGCTGGATACTCGTATTCCGAAGAGAACAGAGCAAATGGGCCTGAGCATGGTCCTAAGGCTAGCCAAGAGTACACGGACCAGACACTTCATAAAGTGACCGCCAAACGTCAGGTAACCCTATAAACAAAGCATCACACTGCCCCTCTCTCCTTTTGAACTACGTCCACGTCGCTCCTCCTTGGTACACCTCCGGCGCCAGCCATCACAACATATTCAGTAAGGTGAAACCAAATGCAAACGTCAGTTTAAATCCTTACATTGTGGAGGATTCGGGGGTTCGTCCGCCACCAAAGTAAATGCGCCTCCTTTAACTCACGTCACCTTTTCGCCTCTATCTTCGAAACCTCCTTAGTCCCGGACTGGTTTCCGGACTTTGTACGCGTGTGCCGGCCTTCGGATCATTCTTAGGCCAAATCTCGTTGTTCGTCCTACAATGTATGCATTCAGCTTCACTTATTGTCTTCTACGTTAATTAAAGCTTTGTTACGCTACAATTGTTTCAAGGAAAGGAACAATTAGGCTTGCGCATGGCCTGAAGATAAGCCCACGCTTACAAGGGTCAGATCAATCTTAAAGGAACCACAAGGCATCAGGTGGTCATACAAACAAAGAATCGCAATGGCATCTCTGTATTGTTAGTGCAGCACTAAGATTATCTCCTATATGCAAACGTGCATCATTCTCTTGCATAACACTTGCGTTCTGCTTGCAGAATGAGCAAATGTGAACGTTTATAAGAGAGAGGCGGGAACCAATTGGGAACTCGGACCATGTGCGCGAAGTCGGTGAGGGGTCTGTCTGCAGTTGGTATATCCCAGTCGGCTCATCTGCATCCCTAGTCCCATTCTTCCTGTAGCAAATGCCAAATAAATCATCTGCAACCAACCCTCTCTCGAAGTCTTGGGTTCGTAGGCAGGTAGGCAGGCAGCTCTTACAGTTAAATCATCAAACATAGCTTCAATGCTGTTTTAGCATCTACGAAGCAGTTTAAATATTATTGAATTATGCGTTAATATACCCCAAAAATCTAGTTTTAAAAAGGTTTATTTTTAAGACAAAAAAGATGAAAGTAAATTTGATGGCCTTGAACTATCACATAAGGTTAGACTGTATGGGAATTTCGTATGTGGTTGGTTCGTGAGTTTGGCCGTTTCGCTTTTATTGGTGTCTTTTGGTCCATTCTCTTCTAGTGTTCCCTTACTTTACAGCTGAGTGGTCAATTCTAATCACTTTCTTATCGATTTCGGGATTGGTGCTAACTATCTCACTTGGTGCGAATTTCTTTTTTTCTTGTTCATAAATCTCTTCCCAAAATAGGCGCCTTTGTATCTCCACGTGTGTTAAAAGTGTAAAATGGCTTTTGACTCATATCTCATGGTGTTTTTTGCTTTTGTGGAATAGTTTAAAGTATGGTACAACTTTTAGGTCCTTATGAGAACGAGCCCATCTTAAAATGTCGAAAACTCTTCGTCCTTGTCGTACAATGAAGGTAAAAGTATGCATACCTAGTTTTCTAAACAGTACCAGTTTCAATTTCACATATGTCCTTATTTTATTTTAAGTCCAATTTTAGTGTGGTCCTTGAGCGTGTTCTAGGGTTTACGACAGTGAACAATAGCTCTGTTGCACTGGATACAAAAAACTCGACGGTATTTTACGTGGCTGGGTACATGTTTTAAAATTACGCCATTTTAACTGTATTCGATTGGTAACTCATCTTGTTCCTCGTTTTTTGCTAGCTTGTTATGCTCTTCAGTGATAGCATAACAGGTATCGTTTCGTGGACGCTATTTTTTTGTTCTTCTTGCAGTTGTGTCGTTGTTGGAGAATCGTGTAAAACAAATTCTCAGTTCATTGTACAAAGTCCAGCAAGGAAGTCATTAACCTGTCTGGATGTTAGTCAGGATGGCAAATACATAATCACCGGTGAAGTAAGTTGCTTAAGTGCTGGCGAATTATGATCTTATTCGAGTTTTGCTCAAGAGGATGGGAAAGAAACGTTACGTGATTCATACTATGGCATTGATCGTGAGGGGGTTTTCGAATTTATTATTAAAATTGCATTTATTTTGCTCGAATTTATTTCTAACTTAATGTATTTACTTCACTGCGGGGATCTAGTGGTTTACACTCTCCTGAAAAGTGTCGTCTGATTTTTTGTTGCTTCACAACTATCAGGCCATTTGCGAAATAAATTCAAAGTTACAGATTGTAGCCTGACGTAAACTAATGCGTTTCTCCTAACATCCGTATTCTAACGCTCATGAGTGGTATAGTGCTTGATTTCGCAAGCTTTGCTATTGTTTGACTAGAGTTAAAAATGCTGTACCCATCCAATGTCCTACCGTGCGTCTTATCGGTGGGCATTAATTGATGGATGCGCATCTACACTGAAATGGTTATAAAAAAGATCCGGCATTACCCGGAATAATTTGTTATCATAGTCGGGGCATCAGCCTATGGTGCGTGTTTGGAGCAGGATCGATGGACGTCAGATAGGAACCCTTAGCAGCCATCACTTTCGCATCAGCTCCGTCCGATTCAGCCCCACTGCAACGCACATCGTCAGTGTGGGCTGCCAGGAGGACCAAACTATCTGCTTGTGGGACCGAGTTCAGCTCCAAAAGGTCGCCAGTGCCAAGGTATCTGCAAGGGTAAGTGCACCATCTATATCCCTATCAAGTCAAATTGCTTGCTTATCAAAGGAACTATATCATTTTCTTTACACCAGGAGTTAATACTCAACCAGCGATCGACGTGACCGCGATCTACAATCTTACACTTCCAGTTTAAGCACAAATATAACTGCTGGTATCAAGTTGAACAAACTGCACGCATTTCTAGACATCGCTGCTCCTGGTTTCAACATTTTACTCGATAACTGATTTAATATTAAAGCGTTAATTGTTGTTTGGGCCATGATGATGCTGATTCTACCTTCCTGAAACTTAGTTGTTCTGCCTTTATGGACCGCGATACTGGCTTCATTTTAACCAAAAACTAAGGTTACCATGAAGAAAAACAATGGCTAAGGTATATCTTTAAATGCACTTTGCTTTATCTTGCTTTCTTATTGATTTTGACCAAAAATTATTTCAGGTTAACGCCGTCGCTTTCAGTGACGATAAGGAGTTCTTCGTTACAGTGGGCATTCGTCATGTTCGCTTCTGGTATATTGATTTGAAAAAACGTCCCAAGGTAAACACGTACTTTTTGTCTCGTTTCATTTGCTTTGTGCTAAAGTTTGTGCAGTCATGTGCTGAAGGAGGAGGGAATCTAGGCGCACTCTTCCGGAAGGGGGCTACATTGTGCATCTGATTAATTAGCTGAAATTCTCGGACTTCATTTTGAAGGTATTCTCTAGGCTGCCGCATATTATGATTGCCTGTTGTCATCCACAACATATCCAGCGATTTTCTTTTTGGACCTCAGTTTATGGCTGCGTATTTATGACTCAAGATCCTAGAGTGTTCATATTAGCTTTGTTGTTTTTTTTTTAGCTAAAACGATGAAGATTTATTAACAAGACTTTGCATTGTTCGATTCGATAAGATGATATCTTCACTTGATGCAATAATCTTGGAGGTGGTTTGCTGTAAAATTTTTGTAAAGTAAATCATCCAAAAGGAGGTAGTCTGAATCTTTACAAGCACTTTTGAGTGAGCCTTTTTTATCACAAGCAAAATGCGATGTGTACTGACATTTTGAGCAAGGTTTTGGGTAATTGCGACGATCATGGAAGTTTGCTTATTGGAGCCAAATTGATTTTTTTAGTGTCGAGCCCACTATCTTTTATTATTGTTGCATGTTAGTCAAATTACGTTGGTCTGAATGCGAAGTTTAGTATAGCTCGTCGTAAAAGGATGCACTTGACTAATTTTTCTGCTCCTTTTGTTTTAAAGGATTGTGGATAGGTGACATTGGGATTAGAGTGTGCTCCGTCCAAACGTAGTGTTCGTGTTCTCGTTTTTCCTTCATGGTTAGTAGTTGGGTAAGCAGCCTCAAAAATGCTCAAACTAATTTATCCGCATCTTGAAGAATATGCTGTTTTCATTTGATTTAACTCTCTTTGGAGTGGTATAATTAAGTAGATTTTCAATCACCGGCCCTGGTCCTCTCAGTACTAAATGTTTTCTCTCCATTAACTTGGGCTTTGTAGATCGCTGATAGCTATCCATGAGTTGATCAATTTCAAAGTTTTTGGTTGTCATTTTTCTTTTACAGTTCTGTGTACTTTCTTATCGTGTCACTTTTATGATATAACCAGCATTCTTGTTCGATGATTACCTTTGGGTTACAAGTTTCTCCATCCCAAATAGTGTGAATGTATCGTTGTCTGTCATCCAGTGTCCACATGCGTAGCTTTCTTCTCCCTACGTTAACTGTATTTACTCACTTTTCCTGCGTTCACGATTGCCGAGGTTGGATTTTGTTTATCTTTGCAATCCCAACCCCAATGCTAGGTTAATTGACACTATGATTCCATTTATCACTTCAAATGTGTGCAATGATTCACTTACAGTGTGGTTTCTTTCGGCTTGTTCAGCGGTCTACTGCGTGAATCCAGCCAGATAACTTGTAAGCAATCACTTGGAACCAAGTCCACGTTCTCCGTTACACCATCAGCCATACTGAAGTTTTTGTTCTTACTTGATATCATGGGGGGAATATTTTACGTCTCAAAATCAAGCGCTTACTCGACGTAACTAGGTAAGGATATCTGCACAGGGCTTTTGTCACCAATAGATCCTGCAGTTGTTTCTAGCCCACATAGCTGCCGTCATGTGCTCAGTTAGGGCGTAATATATGGTTGTGTGTTTGTTTCAGATCAAGGAGACACAGCCGCTGAAGGGCAGGAATGCAGTACTGGGCGACATGCTGCATAATACATTCACGGACGTCTGCTGCTGCATGGGGCCTGCAGAGGGCAGTAACGAACACCGAGCCCTGGTCCTTGTCCTTTCACAGGCCGGTCAGCTCCTGCAAATCAATGCTGCTCGCTGCGTCGCCAAGTGGGTTGATCTCAAGGTGAGTGTACATCTTTCCTTCATGCAAAGGCTACTGCCATGCAGTCTGATGCACTTTTTATTGGGTTTCATAATCTTAGCAAGCCTTATCGAAGCTGGATTTTCAGGCCCAGATTTGGTTCATCCTTGATCTGCTTTTACCTAAACTGTTTAGTGCTTCAAATGGTAGTCCCTATAATTCGTAGCGTTAATAGATTTGACACATCTTTGATGTCTTTTTCACCTATAGCTTTTAAAACTTGACAACTATTCTTCCAAACTTCATTGAAAGATTAAAAGTAGACAATCTTCTACTTGAACGAAACTGGTTTCTTTCCATGGTGGGGCAAATTGTGGCAGGATCCAGTAGAAGGCTATTTGCTTGCTCTTTTGTCCAGTTACTTGCCGTGGCTTGACATTTTTAATAAACACTACTGATCGAATTTTTTTACCAACATCATCTATCAAATATGAATGTGTTAGGTAATATGCTATCTGACTTAACAGCTAAGTCTGTTAGCACTACAATTCACGGCTATCCCTGTAACTGCCTTTGCCTTCTCTTCCTAGGTAACCAGCACAGCATGCATGACTCTAAGCGGGCAGACAGTAGTGGTCGGTTGTGCTTCTGGAGTATGTCTCATCTTCTCCGCTATCAGTCTTCGATTCATCGCCCGTGTGCCCCTTCCTCACCCCCTTGGGGCAAGCGTCTCCGTAATTTGTTCGGTTTTTTTCCCACGACTTAAGTCCAAGTTCATTTATTCAACATAAGTTCCTCGTCTACTGAAATGGAATCAGCTAAGTTAAGAGCATGTGTCAGCACTATTTATCAGCCACCTATGTTGTTGAACTGCTTTGGAGAATAGTTTATTTGCCAGTCTGAGACATCGGCTCTTATTTACGCAGACTAGTAGGGCTATATTTCCTGCATATCTTTTTTTACTAGCCTATGCATTAAGTTATACATTGGTGCAATAGACGAGAGGACACAACGTTCAACATTCAGCATACACTTTTGGAACGCGCCATCGATAGAAGCACTAATATGGGTTTTCATCCCTATGCGAACATTCATTTACCACGACATTTGACATATGAATAGGTGAATTTGACTTCAGTTAATTTCGACACGTCTTCTTAAGTAGATCAACAACAACAAAAACAAACAATAAAGTTGTTAATTTTTTCCTTTCAAAAGAACTCACCTTCGATTATCAATCTCACTAATGCACTTGGTCTTTTAGGCAGCTGCACATTTCTCGGATTAGAATTGTATGGAGTTGTTGAACGTGTGAAAGTGGTTTGAACCCACGAAGTTTCCTTAAAGGTTTGCTTGTTTATCAGGACTCGTGTTGAAAGTCTGATTTTGTCCAACATTTCCATTCTTAGGGGTGGCAAACACTTCCGCAACGAACGTACTACGATTTGAGAAGTATATCCTTAATAAAAAACTGGATTTTGATTAAATCAAAGTGATTCATTGCATCTCATTAATTTTTGCCTGTCAATCTTTCATAGAGCTTCAAAGTGGGCGTCTCGCCTTCAGCCACATCTTCGGCCGGCCGTAGGGAGGAAACTCGCTACGCTGAGGTGGTAGCCGTCAAGCTCGATCTTGTCGCAGGTCACCTCATTTGTATGTATGCGGATCACAGGTTCGCTGATGAACTGATCTGATTGTTTGCGTTTCCTTAACTTTACCGATTTTTGATGATTGTTCAACATTCCTGTTCTTCGTTATTGACATCTGTTTTTTGCTGAAGTGACAGTGCATTGCAGCGAGTGACAATCTGACATCCTTAATTGATTAGACAGCGTCTTGCATATTCCGTTTTGCTATCACCATTAGTTTTTATAAATTGCAGATGATTGAGTAGCCATTGTTATGTCCTAAGGCAGCGGACTGTTTTAATAAGTAGGGTTTAATCCGTGACTCGAATCCTTCTTTCTCCTTTCAATGCATTCAGCCTTTACTGTTGGAATGTGACCGATCTAAGGTCCATCGAGCAGCAGTTTACCCACTTCTACCATAGTCGTGCGGTGTGCGGCAGTGCGGTGACTGCATCTAGCGCCTGCCTTACGCTTGATGAGACTGATCTTGGTCGATGGGCTCCTGCGGATGCCGCTGGAGCCACCGTTTTCCACATAGAGCACTTCGTTACTTGCTCAGATGATGACACTGTGCGCATCTGGTCCTTTCCTGTCAATCGCTCTACCCTCAAATCCCACGAACTTTTTCCTGATGGCAAGGTATGCGGCCTTATTTAATAAAGTTGTGTTAATTTCCGCTTAGGAAAGCATCGAAAAGTCCGCCCACTCCGTTTTCACTTTTATTAAAGAAAAAACTAATTCTGCGTTAACCATTTATTTGCGATGGCCTGTTAACAATTTCAAATGGATTGGACGAATACCCATTTTTGCAACATTAGGCATTGTTTTTCATCATTATTTTCAGCTGCATTTACGGAGAAAAGTGTTTCAATCCATTATTGTAGGAAGAGGTCAGTATTTTATATACGGACGTCAGCTATGCCAATCTCTGTTGTGATGAACGAAGCTTCAGTAAGTCAGCTCTTTTGCCTGCAATTCCACTACTAAACTATTCCATTTATGACACTGTGACACTTGAAGGGCTGGAACTTTTTGTTTGCGGGACAACTGGCCTTTTGTGTTTGCGATCATTAGTGTTGTTCTTACGGTGGTATGCTGTAATGTCCCTTTCTGACTGTTAAGCTACGTCATCCCAGCAATAAATCGGTTGAACTTCATTGAAGTGAACTGGATACGCGTAAGGGCTCAGAGAGGGTGTGTGACATCCATCATAGGCGAATTGACGCTTCGTACACTTCCTGCGCTTCCTTCTCCTAGATAGTAATGCTCATTTATGAGTAGACTTCAGGGCTGGTTTTGTACAAACCTTTTCTATTCCGCAGATAGCTTTGGTCCAACGTATTTTGGCCAGGGTAGCACATTAAACCTCTCGGCTCCGGGTAGTCCGGCACTGGTGCGACAAGGATCCGGTAGATGGAACAGCAACGCCAACATCATCGTCGCACAGAACAGCGCCGGCTTTGGTCTTCGCTCCATCGCCATTTCGCCCGACACTCGACACTTTGCTGTTGGAGATCGATCCGGCCAGCTCAGGTATCTGCTCTGCCTCCTTATTGTACATGATGCATTCCTCGTGCTAGACCTTAATCGCATTTTAGATTTTTCGGCTGATTGTTTGCACTATGTCCAAACCTTTCTCTGTGCGATGTGTGAATATTCTTTCGCAGTTGCTGCCTTCAAATCAACCCGGGTCTAATGCGTGATTTTTGAGTCATTTTTCTGGATGTTGTCTAGTGTGTGCAGGATTACCTAAGCAATTAGGTAACTTAGATCGGTCTCTATCCCAATATACCGATATGAGCACCAATCAGAATGGTTTCTGCCCCAAATTGTCGTTTGCGCGTAATTTCTGGTTCTGTTGGAATCCCAACCAGTGATCGCAATATCGAAGCTTCAGAACAAGAGTCCGATACCGACGACCTATGCACGCTTCGACGGTGGCATCTATCCGTTGGCTGGGATGTTGTGCCATTGGGGTGGAGCCTTTCGCGACCTTGTTGAGAGCATTGGTTTAGTTAGCATTGGCTAACCTGACTGATGTCAGTGGGAATATGAAACTTTTATCACAGCACTTTTGAAAGAAAATGTCTGGAACCTCCACACCCCCTTTACCTCCAATTAACCTGTAGTTTTATTTTCAAAAGTCAAATTTTCATTAGCACTTTTGTAGCACTTTGTTGTCAGTACTTTAGTCGCATGAGGAAAATTGGCGCATTACTGGCGTAGGAATTGACTATAAAATTGGATATCAGCTCAAGTTAGCAAAAATGCATGGTGTGCGCAGGGTTGCTACTACTTTAGTTCAGCAGTCTCTCTGACTTCAATACTAGTGTTGAGCTTTGTTTAGTCTTTTCATATAATTTTGTTATGCGGAGTCATGCCACTTGGTATTTGGCGTTTCCGCTCAATTTGTTTTGTGTTTCTGTCCTTTAGGATCTACGATTTTAACACCTTCAAACTGTTACATAGTATTCGTGCTCATGACGCAGAAATTCTCTCAATCACCTTCTTCGAATCGAAGCTAAGTGAGTGGCCTTTTTGGCTTATCTGCTCTACTTGTGCTTTAATAGTTATTCACACAATCGCTTGGTTTGTGTCAGGATGGTGTGGTCATTGTTTTTCATCTCATTGATTAAAAAGCCATTCTTGCTTTATCCTTGGCGCAGTATCTCCAACAGCTTTTAATTTTACGGCCTCATTTTTACTTCATGTAAATGCGGGTTTCAGTTTGCGCATTCAAATGTGGTCAATGTCTTATGTGCGCACCAAACGGTTTCGTTCTCCCTTTTTAATATCAATAGTATTATGCGATTAACCATAAACAGGGATATTTTTGGTGTGGATTTTTTGTGATCTGTCAGCTAGAGGGAACCATTTTATGTTTGCTCCTCTAGAGAGGCCTAAAACTAGCTTTGCATTGTGGACTCTACATCACCTGAACCGTGGAACTGTGGAATGTAGGATTTGCGAAGTGCACATTCAGTATCTTCGAAGGGAGCCCATCCGTCTTGAGTCCATTACAATTCTCCATTGAAGTCATTTAGGCTTTTATCATTAGATTAAAGGAGGTGGAAGGGAAGGATGCTATATTTAATTTCGCTAACTATTTTTGCGACGGCGGTGGCAGCGCCGGGCGTATCACTGTTGTGCACTTCCTCGCGCGACCGCGTCATTCACGTGTTCGCTCCACGACAGGACTACTCGCGGGTGCAAACCCTCGCTGACCACTCGGGAGTAGTCAACTCGGCCCTATTTTTTGAGAGTGAGGAAACTCGTCGAATCTACCTCATTTCCTGCGGTGCCGATCGCTCTCTCCTCTTCCGCATTCTCAGTGTATGTTTCCCTGTGATTTTGTCATTGATGGCGTGTTTGAGAAGTCGGGTTTAATATCGGTACCTTATAACAATGTGCATGCGTTCGATGCCATAGAGGTAGGCAACATAACTAGGATTGCACACTTGCTACCACTGTGATGAGTCACAGCTTTGTTGATTGTCCTTGTAAAACACGTTGGGCTACACACTGCATGCTTAGCTATCCTTTCCAACCGTCATCGCTTCGAAAAGACGAGTGTTAAAATCTCGTGGTTATGTAACATGAACTTTGTGCGAATCATTTCGAGACTCATTCAAACTCTTCAGAGTCCAGTTCTTTGTCGATTTACCGTTAATAATACTTGTCACTCACCTGTGGCTATTGAAATAATTACCCGGTGAAGTGTAAAACTGACAGATAAGAAAACGTTCCGGAATTAACTTAGTCATCGACACTACTGTCGGAAGAGAGGAATGCCTTAATCATACGCAACTTGTAAACAAGGAATACTTTCGGGCTAATTGGTGAGCTGTCTCAAGTATTCTCATTGTTGCCTCCGTGTTGGAGCAGACGGATCCGGATAGTCAAACGGCACGATTTGTGATTGAACACCACATTTCAATGACGCACTCTTACGCATGCGCCACAGTGGTGGGTCCCTCGCTGTTGGCACCGGTAGAAATTGGGTCGAAGGGCTCGGTGCAGCCTCGCGTGAGGCACTATTTGGCGGTGGCGTGTCAGGATCGCCAACTGCGGCTCTATCAAATTGCCAAGGCGCGCCAACTCTTCCACTACCGCGCCAGTACATGCGAGGATGGCTCTCCCGTTTGCTGCGCTGCCGATCCTACCAGCACTCTGATTGCCACTGCAGGTATCCTTCTCTACCCATCAACAGAATCGATGAGAGAAAATGAACTCTGTCTTTCGGATCTTTCGATTTGGTTTTATATCTTATGGATGGGCTAGGAAGCATTCTGAGCGAAAACCAATAAAGTCCAAAAAATGGCTTATTGCAACACAATGTTAGCATCGTTTTGGAATATTTTGTTTAGATTTGATTTAGTTAGTTAGTTTAGTCTGGATTTATTTTCGTTCTTTTATTCATGCGTACATCTGCGGTTCTGGTTAAGAAATTTTGCTGATGTAATGGGCAAAGTCTGTATTCCCATAAAGGGTCGGTATGGTTTAGCGATTTTATTTTTTTGTACAATTCTTAAGTCTGATGATTGTTAACAGGATGAATTATAAATACTTTGAGATAGGATTGCATGTGACGGCGATATCACTTGTATCCTCGGCAGTATTGTGAACTACAAAATCGCATATTTCATCCATTTTTTGTTACTCAAATAGGCTTGCTAAATTTGCTGGAAATAGCTTACGGTATCGATGTTGAAATTCTGTGAATAACCCCAGTTTTGCTGCCCAAAGTAAATTATGAAAAATTTTATTTGCTCATCCACAAAACGGCGGTGATATGTACCATAGCTTTGCATTTAATGCAGTTTTGATTCCAATGGTTGTTTGTAATTCTTTAAGGGAAATGAATGTCTGAACTCTCCTTCCTCGATAAAGCAGTGATTCTTGCGAAAATGCGCCTTGTTATTTTTGCGTCGCCTTCCTCTCTACAAATTTCGGGGTCTCTGCCACGCAAAATATGATTAGTGGGCGAGATCGTCTTTAATCCACTTGAGAGGCAGAATCTTCTTACAAAACCCCATAGCTTTGCTATTTTGTCTATCCTTGGTCTCTTGTGAGAATAGCGATGCGATTTGTTGGAAAACTTTGGTGTGGCTGAAGGCTCTAGCATATATTTGCTTCTATGTGCTCACATGAATCGGCTTTGTAGGCTCTGACAAGCAGATCAATCTCTTTCACCTCTTCACCGGCGAGCTCGTAGCCACTCTCTATGGACACGCAGACATTGTGATGGGTCTCGTTTTCTTACCCGACTTGCGACACCTCGTCAGCGTCTCCTACGACTCATGCGTTTTTGTGTGGCGTCTTGCTCCCGAACTGACGGCCCTGATGCTAGACCGGCAGCAACGCATCGCCGCTCTTTTGACCCCATCAGCCCCTTCTGTGGCAGATCTTCCCGCATTGGCAATCTGCCCTCTTAACAGTTCTCTGCCTCTGTGAGTTCATGCTTCCTAACGTGTCTTCACCGCATTTTTTTCTGAATAACGATTTTCTGGTGCTATATATTGAAGATGTCGTCTTTACACTTTGTCCCTTACTTTGGAACTAATTTTTAAGCCTGAAATCTTGCCTCTTAAAAAAGGCATTGTCCTCCTGGCTGTATACAAATTTTTGTCGTTTTTTCCAGAAATATTATGAAGTTACTAGGTCTATCAATGCAACCACTTTTGACTCCCTTTTTTACTCATACTTTTCGTTTAGATCCGCGAATGATGCCGGCAGCTCTGACGGTGGTGAAAACATTAAGTTTCCTTTCACTGAGAATGATCTTCCTTCCTGGGCGCGTTGCAGGGTATTTTCATTGCATTTTTTGTCTTGGCTATTTCCATTGTATAGCATACTCATTGTTGAGGTGCAATCGCTTTCATTACTAGTGTATCATTCACGTAGTTGCGCAAATACAAATGTGGACATTGAGCCACTTTTAATCTCCTTTTTTCATAGCTATCGTGCATATTTACAAGCGAATATTTTAAAATACTTACCAATCTCAATGAATTTGTCATCAAGCTTGAACGATGCTCTTCTCATGCGATAGTATGGCAGCAGTGAACAAATTCAAATTTCATATTCAACTTACCTATGAGGTTTAATAAACTGCATCAGTTGAACTGTTATTTGACAAATCACGCCGCTATAATCTATTCATGCTTTATCCTTCCGACTGAAGAGCACTTTAATGGCCTCTTTAATCCACGGAATTAGATTTGATAATATCTTCTATTGAGCGTCTCGTAAATAAGTCTTTAAGTCCGGCAGTACAACAGTTACCTTTCCTCGAACACAGAAACCCGACTTTAAATTGATCGTATTGAGACTTTCAACGGTCAAAGTCTTTTGTTTGTCTTGCAACCTTCCTCTTTCTGACTTTGCACCTCTAGACATTATTATTTTGACTGCTTGTTGCGCCTAACTGTTGCGATATACTAGTTGCTTACTTATGAATAAAGTTTACATGAAGTTGGCATGAATTTAGTCTTTACTTTCCCATAATTGTACAGTCCAGATATACCACTTTTAAAGTTAAAAAAAGTTCTTAAGATACGTCTCATTTACATGTAGCAACACCCGGAGTCAGATACAGGTACTTCAGAGCACTCCAGCCTTCCAGAACGAGAGACGAAGCACTCGTTCATTGGATTTCTGGATCCAACCTCAGAAGTGGAAGTTACCGCTGTGGCTCACGTCTCGCGATCTCAGAGTGAACGCGTGCGGTCGAGTCTGACATCGAAGCGTCAGCGAAATCGAACATTCTGTGCAGTGCCGGTGGTATTAGGTCGCGGCAACAGCCTTGGCCGTCTACCTACTAGTAGTAGCGCGTGTCGAGGTGATAGCGTTGATCGCTACGCCGATGAGGACATAGACACTCCATCTATGTTTTCCAGTGCCGTCTTTCCTCGATGGGCCTCTAGCGTTGTGAATATCACGCAAGAGTTTCCCTTCAAGCCGCCGCCCCCTCCTCTACCTCTCTCTGTCACTGCAAACAATGACCTTGTGAGCCTCTTTAGCTTTACTGTCTCGCTGATTACTCGATGGGGTATGTCAAAGGTCTGTGAGCACGTCCTCGTCAATTTTAGCTCTCATTAGACCTAGTGCTGTGGCTTGAATATATTATCGATGCTTTAATCCCTTGCGTTCCTTTGCATGGATCACTTTTCTTCATCTCAGTCGCGATATTGGCTATCCAGTTGTCGCCTAGTAACCACCCTCGAAGACTTAAATTTTGTTAACACCTTGTTTACTTCAATTTGAAGCAGATCTCTGAATACTTGAACCCATCCTTTTTTACGACATTGTACTGATAGCTTCGAATGTTCATTTTTAATCACTCAAATCCTTCATAATAACTAGTCACTTGCCACCCCAAGTCCTTCCTGCGCTCCGTCTCATATGACATACTTTCCCAAAGAGTACCGTGCACAGGGTTCACGTTTTTGGTTTCTATGTTGTAAGTATTCACTTTCCCGACTAATGAAATTCATTTTTGGAAACCGTCAGACTTAGCTTGTGTGCCTCACACTCATTTTCCCATCTTTTTTTCTTGCATTGAGCACAACCTTCGTTGCTAATTCTCTTGTAGATCAATGCCCACTCCCGTTCTCTAACCTTCAGTCTTTCAAGTGATGCTTTATCCTCGTTCGAAGGCCAACCAAACAAGTGTCAAAGGTTGTTTTTACTTTTTTTTCGATTTACTGCATTGTTTATGAAGTTACCTGTGTAATTTCGATCCTATAGAAATAGCGGTCCAATGAGTCATCCTCAACTTGAAGACTGTTGTCTAAAATTAAGTCGGGTTGAAGAGGTTTGTGACAACGAGGTATTTCTCCACTCCATCAGATGCTTTATTTACCGTTTTCAGTAGTGCTCCCTTTTCTAATAAATTATTGTAGTTGGAAATGCCGGCGAGTGAATGCATTACGAAAGAAGCTGTGCAAGTTCAGTCAAACTCTCTCCCTCTTAAAATGCCTTCAGCGAGGGTAAGTCGGTTGGAATCGGATATCGAAGTCGCGATCTCTTCTTTTGTCTGCGAAAGAGGGAATGGTCAAAGCACCTCTTTCAGCCGTGAGCTTGAAGGCGAGACGTCTAGCCCCGATCAGGACACGACTTGCTGCCTCTCTAGAGAGAATTTTGATGTATGCAGACCGGCGTCAGACCCTGCAATTTCTGCAAGTTTACCTATGTTTCTCAACATCAAAAACTTTGACCTTCAACAATAATCTTCACGTTTAAATAGTCAAATGACACGGAGGGAAACGTTTTTTATCCAATATGCCTTTGATTCAGTCCTTCGAAACCTACTTTAAGACATCATGGAGGTGTGTTAAACTATATCGTTACTACTTTACAAGCTTTCGATCTGTCACTGATTCGTTCGCATCACTTATTAGAATGATTTTACTTATCATTTCTTTCACTCTTTATTCGTATTTAGCCTTATTAAGTTGCAGTCATTCAACTATCGATATCCTTCTGTCAGTTCAAATGAAATAGTATCGCTCAAAGGCAAGCAAACTATCCCTTGGGAAATATGAAGTGCTTATATTTTTCATTCATTAACAGTCCATCACAATTTTCATTACATGGTTTACACCTTTTCATTCCGCCAATCAATAAGTTGTTGTTTGTAATTTTCTATCGTCGTTGATATAGTTATGAATTGTAATTTATTTTTATCAACTTAAGCACAGGATACACTCTCCATCAGTTTTCCGTTTTCCCTACTTTGTCATCGGTTACCCTCTCGACTCCCTTCAGAATTCCCCCAACTCCGTATCATCGACATCGGATTCAGCCTTAGCCTTGAGTCTGCTGTCGAAAGTGCGTGAGGCATTAGACGTAGCAATGGACCACCTGGCTGCCTTTAGCACTAACAGCAGCACGATCTGTGACAGTCGTAAGTTCTTCAGTTGCCACTTGGAGCAACGAATTACACGGCTAAGAAGTGTACTCCGAGTTGAGCCTCCCATCTCAGCCTTCCCACCTTCTCCTCTTTCGCAATCTCCCACCACCGACACCCCAACTCAACACATTGAGGAGTCCACACCCTCACAGGCGGCCGTTGTGGAGCTTATCGAGCGTCTTATGCCAAGTATCCGCAGCGCGATGGCTGAGACTTTAACAGCTGGTGTGAGTCCGGGATCTGTCACCTCCAGCGAGCATGCAGATGGAACTTTGAAAATCCCCACAAATCCCTTTCCGGAGGCCTAAAATCAGTACCAAATTTTGTACAGTTTTATTTATCAATTTCCCTTCTTTCCTGCTTCCAATCATGGTCTTAAGTACTTTGCAACTCGAGCTCTTATTTGTCCGTACAATGATTATTTTTTTCTCTCTAAAATTTCTTGTGCTGTTTGGCAGCTATGGTAATGAGGTTGGGTAAAAGATGCCTTCGGTAAGCGAGTATGCATAGTTCAAGCGCTATTCAAAATCGACACGTGTCGGGGTCGGGTGTCTTGTATTGACACATTTTGGAGAAGCATACTTTTTAAAAACTTTATTTTTGACCAGTCGTAATGTCTTTATTGGTGACTGATGGGAAATGACCTAAAACGAGAGAACGTTTGTCTCTAGACCGAATCATGTGTGCAATTGTAGGTGTGCCGAAATTCCCTTTTTTACAGTTCTTGCAAAGCTGCTCTTATGATACGTCTGTTCTACCTTCTGTTAGTGCTCGCCCAGGTATTTGTATCAAACTATATCGAAAATTGCTTAAGTCACTATGAATCCGAAGTGATGTTGGAAGCAGTTTTGTGGTGCACTTTGTGTTACTGTGAATTGGTGGCTTCTTTTAGATTTTGAGTCTAAAATGATTCAATCTCGCAGAACGTAGTTAAAATAAATGGTGTGGTAGATACAGATGTTAGTCCCTTGTAGTTCTGCATATTATAGCGGTGAAAATGGACGTCTAATGTCGCCATAGTAGATCAGTTGGCGTTTATATTCTCTGATCCCATACGCCATGCTAACAACCGTACAACAAAGACGAGGCTACTGGTCTTCATGGATGCGGGACATGTCTATCACAACCGAATTCGGCCAACATTTTTAACCCTGGTGATTTACTTTATGTTCGTAACGTTTGTAGCACTTCGTGCAAGCCTTCGCGGATGCACTTGATCAGTAGCTGAAATTCATTCCAACTGTTTATTGCTTCGCTGTGAAATTACAACAATTGTGTACGGAAGGTGGATTTGGGTGGAAAATGTCCTTCAGGCTCGATGCAGCAGTAGTGGCTGGCATAAACTCTTTTCTGAAGCAAAGAAATATGTTGCTAGCAAAAGAAGTTGCTATCTTGATGCAACGGTTCTAATTTCAGAGCTTAGTCTGAAGATGAGTTGGAAGCGATTTTGGTATCATAGGTGAATGAAACACCGCAGTAACCTTTAGCAGAGACAAATTTCATTTTGTGCTGCACTTGTTTTTACAGTCTCTTCCTGACTTCAATTTACTTACTCAACAGGTTTGGGTTGCAACTTAATAGCAATGCCACTTTTTCAAATGAAAGATCCATAGTACGAGTGTAAATGTGTGAATTTTTTCTTCTTGTCCGAAGCATCATTAAAATCTATTCCTTAAAGGCACTTTGGATTGATGGATAATTCCGATTTTCGTTATGCCACATGTTCAGCCATTTCAGTAAAGCTTGGCAAGAATGGAAGCGTTTCCCCGTGACTCCTGCAGCGCACTTTCTGTGGACTTTTGAAGTGTCAGTGCATACAGCAGACAAAGTTGTGAGCGTTGCACAATCTCCATTGTACTTGCATGCACTAGTGATATGCGTAAGCATTTGTTAAAACTGCTATGGCTGAATTTAATGACTTGTCAACTTGGACAATTGCACAGCATAATTGCTATGACAAATGCTTATGGGTATGAAAACCAGTGACACTTGAGACCAAATGATTTCGCTCTGGTGGAAGTTGCATGCATTTGACTTCACTTAGTAAACTCTAATTTTGGTGCCCTTTTGCGATGCCTATGGGTCAATCAGGTAATGCAGATAGGCAGAGCCCACTGACGCATGCAACCGTTTGTTGGCTACACTGTGTATTTAGGCCTAGAAACCCACGTAGAAAGTAGTTCATTCTGCATGAAAAAGTCATGATTCAGTTCCTCTACGCGTGGTTGCAACCGGATAATCTGATGACAGGCTTCGTGACGTTTTGAAGAACGAGGTCTGCTTCTAGAGGCACTATGCTTAATTAACTTGATTTTGTGACTGCTCGGTTTCCTCAAAGTGTATAGAAGGATGTACGCTTTCATCAAACGGGCTGCATACTGCATACTCTATGAACTTTAAAAGGCTTCACGCTCAATTCTGGCCGAGTTCTATTTAGGGCAGCGCTTAAACCTACGGAAGAACTTTTCTTGGCACATGAAGACATTTGAAAATTGACAAGGTAATCACTTGGCCCTTTAGCTCCAAAAAATACGTCTTCATAATTTTCACAAAAAACATGCATTTTTCTGATTTCGATATGCCCGTGCGAGTCAAAATTAAACCCTTGCACATAAGTATTTTTACCGAACTCCAACAGTCGCACCACAGATTATTGGCAGTTGGGTCAATTCTCTCTGTTCCGAGGTGTGAACAAAGGCAAAGCACAACCCTGCTTCAACGTGGTCATTATTACGTGGTGTCAAAGCATTATATGTGTTCAGTGCATTAGGATTACCACGTATTTATGTTTATTGTTTTGTCAAAGGCTGTTAAACCCCGAAACTCTGATAATATACGACGAGTGACAAACTGACAAACTGTGCAGTCATTTATGAGAAACGACAAGACGTTTGTAGCGATTCTCCCATTCCTTTAATATTCACTTTGGTAGATAGGTGTTGCTTTTCACATTTTAATGCTTGCCTATTCCATGGACAGCTAAAGTATACAGTATGGTAAAAAAAGTTTCATACCTTTCCTGTCAGGCTGATTTTGAAGTTGGATTTAAATGCTATTTAGAATAAACAGTTGCAATGACTCTCATATGAAAATCAAAAAGAAGAGTTTTGAATTGCAAGCAGTCAAATTATCGACCGCCTTAGATTGGGCATTTCGACTCCGATTCTACACTTTCAGGAGATACACGAA